TTGTCTGTTAAGTATGCAGTTTTCCCAAAGGTGCATTTTATGTTTGAAAATCTAATTTGAGAGATTTTTCCCATTTACACAGTTTTATTACATAGAACGTTACTCGAATGTTACTCAAATGTGTTTGTTATTGCAATCATGACGATAGCTACGACGACTACCAGGACGTCAATGATGATGTTGATGTCGATGGTACTGTTTTTCTTCATATTTTTTTCTTTATTTTTGTCTTTCTTACTCATTTGCAATGTTTCATCCAAGTTTTATGTGTTGTTCCCATATATTTATACTTGTGCTACAATTTTGTGGTTGTTGTTATCGTGATATATTGTTTTACATTTTACTATTAAAAACACAAACAAACTTACACATACGCATACTTACACAGTCATGTAAGTTGGTGGTTATGTAGCTCGTGTGTAAGCGCAAGTACTTTAATTGAGAGCATTTTGATGTTATAATTCTGGAGTATAGCTTTAGGGGCGCTTAAATTACTTCAATCAACAATACGCAGCGATTGACAAACTTTTATTTTCCGTTTTTTAGGTCGTCTTCTTCTTAGTTTTATTTTTGTCTATTTGAGAAAGCTGGTAACAATATCCCTCTTTACTGCCTTCTATTTGCAGAATTCATTTTTTTTTTTTTCCGTTCGTTGGCTCTACTGCGACGGGAGAGAGGTTAAGGGAGCAGTCTCGAGCGTATGTGTATACTTAAAGTTGATATGAAATTATTTCGTAGATATTTTTTGTGTTTTTGCTACGACTAGTGTTCAGAGCTTTCAATTTTATTTACAACCGTTATCGTGGCGTTGTTGTTGAGTAACAGAAGATATTAAACGAGGGATTTGAAAAATTATGAAAGAGCCAAATTCTCAATTGAAACTAACTCGGGCACAAGCATCAAACTAACATGTATGCACGCGTACGTGTATTTGTTCAAACTAAAGCTTATATATAAGAGTAGAAAAAATTCGTTCATCTCTAGAAACTAACGCCTTCCGTGTACATAGCACGTCAAAAAAGTATTAGGAAATGTCAGATTTTTCAACTACTCTTAATATTCTAATTAACCGACCATATCTTTGATTTTTCAAAATTGGCTACACATAAGACATATATATAAATTTACATATATATATGGTCTGCATGAAGAGGCGGTCTTTTACCTTTTTCTATTATCGCAAACACAATGCGCGATGTCAAGCTACCTTTTCATTATCATTTTATTAACCGTTGACGATTCTGTTGAAAATGATATGTACAATAAAGCTAAAATTGAAGATAGAGTTTTTCAAAGAAGTGTTAGATCCAATATTGTATTGCATTTTCAGTATAGATCTTCCGACCGCTTACTATACTTAAATAGCGAAAAATGTACGTGACACAGCAACCCTATTTTCTTCTAGTAATCTCATCTAAAATGTATTCTAAAAAACTCTATGCATATTACGTTCACACTAAATAAGAATTCATGTCTTTCAATAAGACCCCATCAACAGCTGCGTACAGCTTACATATTGACCGAAGATTAACGTGCAAAACTCTTACAAAAGCCAGCCGCAACTTCACTAAAAGAACATAAAGCTTCATTGGCTAATTCGTCCCAAATGTCAATTTAATCTAAAAAATAACTGCACTTTATATAAGAGTACCCTCTAGTCTGTATGGACCTGTGGTATGCAATCGTGGAAACAGCGAAGAGATCTAATATTGAAATTCTCCAGAAATATCAATCTGAGATTCTGCATCTTATTGTGAATGCCCGTATTTCGTTTGCAACGAAACTATTTACTGTGGCCTGAATTTTCCTTATCTTAGCAAGTAGGAATATTATAGTCAGGCAAGACCGACTATTAAATACGCTACACCACATTGTCTAACACAATTCTTATTTTATTATAAAACACCAAAGTTATAGCTTATTTCTATATAAAGACATATTTTTTATGTACATAACTATTGGAAAGCAGGCTTTAAATCGAACTTAATGTACTACATCTGTGCATAGGGCGGCACCCAAAAATAGGTGTAAATCCAAATTTTTTAGAGTTAACTTTTGTGTGCAATTACTATTATGGGTCCATTTTCATCACCACATATTAAAACTTGGACTTTTCTGCTCCACAAAAAATCAATTTTCGTGAAAATCCTTATTAGCGTAGGATCAAAAAAATAGGTCGAGATGGTGCAAATGTACTACTTTTAATTTCTTTATGTTAAATTACTATTAGGATATGATTTTTATTATGAAGAATTGAAAATTATTTCTTTTTGTCAAATGAACTTCAGTTTTCAATATATGAGAGGGGGCTCAAAAATTTCCCCAGCCGGTCTAAAATGCTTATACTAATTTACAATGCCAAAATGCTGTTACTTAGAGTACATTTGAGTAATTTGAGAAATTTTGAAAATTACAATTTTTCCCATATAACGATTTTTCAGAATAGGGAGTGGTCGAAAAAAAGGACCGATCGGAACTATTTTCAATAGCGTTAGTCTTTGGGTCAAAACACGTTCCTGTACCAAATTTCATCAAAATATTTCAAGAAATGCGATCTACACCTTGAACATAAATTTGTGTGGACTGACATCAGACAGGCTTAGGTCAATTCAGATTGTGATTTTTAATCGATCGGTATAACAAAAGGTGGCTCTATCTGAAGCCCATCTGCATGTTACATATGTCCGCATTAACTTAACACACGCTGCACCGCAAGTGGTGTGGGATATAAAAATCTAATTCAATGCCTTTCTTCAAAAGATCTTGTCAGGCTAAGTAATCATATAAATCGCCCGGCAATATCTCTTCTATATAAATCTAATGGGATAAGAAGATTGACAAGGCATCACATACTTCTTTTTCGAACCTAATTTACGTTTTTCCTTAAATTATTGTAATAATTTTCTAAGTTAACATAGTTTCTTTTTATTCACTCAATATCATACCTTCTTTTATTTTCCGTATCTTCCAATAACTTTTACTTTCAATTTTTTATATAGATTGTAAATTAAATTTGGGAAAAAGCAAAATTGATTGTACGACATTTTCAAAAATCTTCCTGCCACTTTCTTGACAGATGGTACATTCAACATATTTGTTATAAGACATTTGTATTATTTTCGTAAAAAGCAAAAAAATTAAAACATCGTGGGATTTATACTTATGTGTATAAAGTGAAAGCATTTGTGGTAAACTTATAAACAAGCAAAGCCATACATGAATGTATATATATATCCGACTGCTTGGTTGAAGTACTTGTTAAAGTAAGAGTTTCTATTGGTTTCTGTATTTTTTTTTTTTTTTTAGTTTAAGAATTTTTTATCTATTAATTTTTTTTGAAGAGGTATTGTGAAGATGGGTTTATAAATGGAAATTATTTAAAGCCCGTAGATTAAAGACTTTTCTTCCATCCCTTATTTAACACTAAAATAATCCTAATTGGACCATTTTATGTACTTTGCCCACAGGCGCACATTTGAAATTTCTGCACACTTACATGTCTGATTACCTGAACAGAAGCAGACCGTATGTCTATCGGTAGTGTCCTCGAAATATTTATGGGAAATTATATTTTGACACAAATTTTATCGAACTAGTTTTACAAATTCGAAAAATTTCTGCCATAAAAGAGGTAAAAGTCGTAGAGCGAACTTTAAAAAATATCTTGTTCCTTTTGAAGTAATCTAAAGGGATTGAAAGAGAGCAAAGTAAAAGTCTTCTAAAAACCTACATTGAAAACTCATTCATGTCTACCTGTCGTCATTGAATGAAAGACCCATTGTACTTATGTACTAATTTTATGAATTAGCAAATATTTTATAGAATAAACTAAACTATAAACTTAGTTGCAATATCGCGTAGGCTAAGTTAGGACACTGGTACGCGTCAGAGGATAGCTTCGTTATACGTACATGATGTTTTCTTATATGAGTTGGTTTGGAATGGCATTAACAGACGGTGTTAGCTTAACTTAGGCTTGAAAAGTACTATATAATTATCATAACCTAAACTCAAAAGATATAACTAATCTAAGCTTTACAATCCAGAGGGTCTCCTGTCTATTGCATCTGAAATAGTTAGAAAAGGAGGTCAAATTTCAAGATATAAGGAAGAAAGTTCGCTATTCGATGCAGGGAATTTAGCTTCCCCTTTAATTCTCTTCCGCCTATGTACAAGCTGCAGTATGTAAATAAGCTTTGTTTCATTGATGAAATATTATGTCAGTCAACGCCGGACGGTGTACAGTTAATCGTTATTTTTTTATTTTTGTTCGCAATCGTAATTATAGTTCTAGCTTTGTTACTTACACATTTGTCAAAATACTCCCTTTCACCAAAATTCTGACTCTTTGTCTTTCATAAGGTCATACTGCCAAGTAACGATATTTTACTCAGTGTATAACATATAGAAAAGCCATCGTAACTTTATTTACGAGCTCATCAATCTGTACCCGCGGCTAATATTTGATTTGTAGACATTTTCCGTGTACGTTGCAGTGAACATAAGTTCACAGCAAATGTATATCAAAACAGTTCTTGCTTTTGTCAATATACAGTCGTTTGACAATCTGTCCTTGCATTGCACTATTTTTCAATATCTTGAAGGGAAAATGTAACGAAAATTATATAAAAATTGCAAGAAACACAAATACAATAACAAAAATTAATAAAATATTTATGCAGAAAATTCTTTTATTGAAATAAAAACTATAAAATCTTTTAAAAATTTATTTTTCTTCGTATTTTACATTAACCACTTTTCTACACATAAAAAATAATGACATGTTATACAATCTTATACACACATTCGCACCTTGATGCTTTTTCACTTAATAAGCTAAAGAATTAGAAAAGCGTTTAAGAGGAAAGAAAAAATTAAAGAAAATAAATAAATAAAGTTAAAAGTCCAACTATTTTTATTTTTAAGCATTGTTCACTAATAGATTTCATTTTTCGTTGAATAAGAAGTTTTCAATTTTGTTGTTGTTATTTCATATCAATTTCTTTTATGCTTTTCTTTATTTATATAACAATATTAAAATAAAAATGATTTTAAAATTTGATAAAACACCACCAGCACTAGACTATACACCACGAGCAGAGTACAATAGTGGAGTAATTTTAAACTGTAAACCAAAAAAAAAAAAAAAAAAAAATTAGCGAAGAAAAATTTGCATACATTTTTATATCAAGAAAAAAAAGAAAAAAGAATAGAAAAAAGAAAACGCTTTCACTCTTACCGGTCGTGCCGTTTAATCGATTCCGGTATTGTGCTGGGATCATCCTTTACTACATACAATCGTAGACCCACCAAATTAATTTGAAACAATTCAGTCCAGCTTAGCTCGCGCATGTCGAAGGCAAACAGTTGTTTATCCGTTGCCTCCAGCTTCGATGACAGATTGCGCACATTGTCGTTATCGAATTTGAATTCATTTGCGCTAAAATATTCCATTACCGCACAGAATTTATGAATTTTACGGTAAATTTTCAGCATTCTGACAACAAAAACAACAAAAGAAAAAACTAAATTAAAACAAAACAAGTTCATACGTACACACAAAAAGGACAACAATAGAATTCATTATGAACATACAGTAGACAAGGACATACACATCATCATACCTGGGCTTTTTACCGATAACCAACATCAATAAATCCATAAACAAGGCCGGCACCGTGTGATAGAGAAACGATAGTATATAAAATTGCCATTTATATGGTACGACAGTAAAACGCGGATACCAAATCGATTTGCGTAAAGGCAAATCCTTACCATATTTGAAGCCATATTCAATGTAATCACGCCAAGTGGTCCTATTACTGGCATCCGGCACGTAATTATAAATGGGTGGGCTATCATATCTGTACAAAGGTACAAAGGAAAACAGAGAGAAAGAAGGTAAAATTTTTCAATTAATCTTTTCTCTAATATTCACATTTTCTTTGGCAACTTACTTATTTTTGGCTATATCCCACGCACTGGTCAATAAGGCGTTTACACACAAATCGACTGGCACCACATTAGCGCTATTATCTACTTGGCCGCTAAAAACACGTAATACACCTGAACCGATGCCGACTATAATCCCACAAGGCCCATACATATTGTCTATCCATCCGGCTACTGGCTCCCTGTAAGTAGTTATAACTAAAGGTATAAACAGAAATTAATTTCACTATTAGAGCAAATTAGAACAAACATTTCGGATCAAAAATTCTTAAGAACTCCAAAAACTGTTTCATTCGTACTCTTAAAAGTAGGCAACTAATGATAAACCGTTTTATTTCGTTATCAAGCAAAAGCTTTACTTTGCATACTATTTAGGCAAATTTTTGATAAACGCATCTCTTACTGAACTTCTTTTCAAAAAAGTGTTGTTGCCTTTATCACGTGATTTCGCACGAAAAATTTACCTTTCGTTCAATATAAATACTATTTATGAAACATCGCTCCGACTCTATTCTTGCGCAAAGGTCGTTTGGTTTCAGTACTTTAATTGAAAACGAAAATCTTTTAGTCCTGTAATAGAAGATTAAATGCAATTTTCAAGTTTGGTTGAACAAACCACGGAAAATTTGGGCGCAACCCTAAATTGCTAAAGAATTTTCTGGATTGTCATGGTTATGTAATTAATATTGAATTTTTAAATACGGATTTCTAAAGCATTTACCTATGCCTGGACGAAATACGGTTATAGGTAAGTTACCAGCATACTGTTGAACGACATCTTCTGCCAACACTTTGGTGTACGTATACGTATTAGGGTAGTCTTTAATAATGGTAGGCGTTAAAACATTTAGCGTATGATCGTCGAGACATTCACATAATTTGCATGCGTTATCCCCAGATAGGGAAGAGTTATAGAATTTCTCTTCAATATAACGACGATTGCAATGAGCGAAAGCAGTAGAAACATGAACAACAGCCTGATTCGAAAAAAGTCAAAGTTAAACAAAGTAATATTTTTTAAACCTCTTTGTGAAGAGACATCTAACTAACCTTTAGGTGATGAATTTCTTTGGCTAATTTCAAAATCTCCTTAGTACCGTTAACATTAATGGCTATAGCCATTTTCAGTTTTTCATCAAAACGCACTGTAGCGGCAGCATGTATGACAATATTCACCTGTTCCTTAATTTGTTCGCGTTCCGTCGAGCATATACCTAATGCAGGCAGCGAACAGTCACCACTAATAATTGTAATTTTTTCGCGATATTTTGGTTTAAAAGTTTTAAGTTGATCGAAAATCTACAGGCAGAGGATAACTCATTACCAATGAATGACAGTAAAAAAATAAAGAAATTCTTTCTGCAAAAAAACTCACAGGGTCATTAAATATATCATCTAAACGCGTATAAATATCTTTGCCCTTTTTTGAACGTATAAGAAGATAAATTTGTCCAACGTCGGTAACCCTTAATAATTTTTCAATTATTACTAAAAATATTTCAAGATAAAAATTGAAATGAGATTGAATAAAAAAATTAAAAAGAAATCGCTTACTTTTACCAAAGAAGCCAGTACCGCCGGTTAGAAGGATGCCTTTATCTTTATAAAACATTTGCATGGGTGACTCTGTAAATACAAGAAAACATCAATCAAGAGCAAGCAAGCAAAATAATCGTAAACGCGCAATAAGCGCAAATTTTTAAAAACAGTTTTCTATCGTCATCTATTTACCGGCAACAGCAATAAAACAAATAATAACAATGCAAATTGCTAAAGTATGTGTAAAATGTGCAAGAAAACCTTGTTCATAAACTAAATTAAGTTATCGACCTTGTAAACTATCCCAGTGCGTGTTCGATAAACTCTTTCTTCGAACTAACAATTTTGTGTGAGAAATGAATGAGAAGTAAAACAAAAATATTACAGTGACGCTTTGTTCGGTGCTAAGAATATGGTCCACATTCGTACACACCACCGAATGTATTCCGAGATCATATCAAAGCATTCGTGCGTACATAAATGGACTGATAAGCCCAAAATAAAGGAAATAGATCTGTTCGAGATATCTAATTCTAAAAGTTAAAGAAAAAAGAAACTTCAATTTTTACTGCATTGGCTTTGATGTATGCATGCCTAGTAAAAGTGAAGTCATGATGCGATTGAATGTCAACGGTACCGAAGCTGCCTTATCATATGTTAAAAAAGTCTTAATTTTTGCGTATAAAGAACGTAAAAACATAACGTAAGAACGCAAATAGTCAGCGTTCTTTCACGTAATTGCCACCAGAACCAAAACAATCTTACCAGATTCCAACAGAAGAGAAACTTAGCATATACCGGCTTAATGAGAAGGCCGCACAATTAATGATCAATGATTCCGGTGTTTGATGCGAGAAAGAGGGTAAGTTTGTTTTCCCTTGCAATAACGCTAAATGGTGATTGCTTGCACTACGAAAAAAAGATTAACGTAAGCAGGTAGACTGCATGATAGCCATATTGTGCTTTATTAAAAGAAATTGTACTCAGTCGTAATTATGTTGCTTCATTTTTTTGTTACCGAGCTGGAAATGTCACATTTCGTATGTGATAGGATAAGATGTACGAAGAAGAGAACCAATTTTGGCAAAAATAGAAGATTTTTAGATGCTAATAACAGGTGAACATCGTGATCTCATTTATAACAACAAATAGACGGAAGCAGGGTACAAGTGAAGTTGAATTTTCCTCTTGAAAATATTGAGTGGTATCATCAACTAAACCAATCAAGAAGGCCGAATATCGCATCTACCTGAACAAACCTTTGTTCTTGCGACACTCTTACTTTTGATAAATCAGGATACCTAACTGTACCCAACGACCATAGATTAGACTGCGGAAAGATGTCGGCAGCATACTTCGTCTTGTGCGCCAGAAAATGGGAAGGTGGCAATCGCGGAAAATAACAGTCATCAAGTGGTTATATTAAAGGCTGATAGGCGTCCTTTGTGGAAGTAGTTCCCCAATTTTATGCTCCTTTCTTTCAGAGAGATTAAAAGATTGTACATCTTGAAGCACTGAAGGAATTTTGCTTTCAGAGTTGCCTGAATAGGAAACTAAAATAGCTGTAGCACATTAAAGTATCGTCTTGAAAAGCAATTAACTAATTTCACACGATAGCATACTTTCGTATAACCAAAAATTTTGTTCGCCTTAATCGTCTTAACGCATAAAAAATCTTTTTTAAAATTTTATTGTTCGTAAGTAATTTTGTTGATTGTTCGTTATTAATTTTAATTAATATTATTAACTCCTGCACTTCTGCTCTCATGCAAATAGTCTTCGATGTGGTAATGAAACACGTTTTGAGGCCAGCAATATTAGGTTAGGCGATCGCACCGGCTTCTGTCAATATGTCAATAAATGAAGATCTGCAAAAAAGAAGCTATACACGAACAGAAAGAGAATGCAAACGTCTTGCGCTTGAGTTAGTGTGTGGTAGTGCCAGTGATGACTGTGCATCGATTGCTTTCTGCAAACGAACGTAACTAGTGAACAAAAATGCTTTATTTAGCATTTGGTCAAGACAGGAAATAGAAATCTTGGCGGCATAATGGCATAGGATTCTCATATCTCGCAGACCACGGATAGTGGACATATATCTCACCCTGAACGAATCAGGTTACACGAATGACAATATGGAGAGGACCTCAAATATTTATCAAGCGAAAATGTTTATCTTTCTCCAATTCCGCGAAACCCTACGCTTCATGAACCACCCGCCACTCACTGGAACTTGGGATCTCTTCAATTTGCTTGAGGACAACTTGGAAGCATCGTGGGTCTACTTCCTAAAACGTCCTCGAAGAGAACCTAGTTTATAGAAAACAGTGCATGTCTATGTTCACAGATATGCAACAATGTTTTCATAAATTATCAATATTTCGATTTACTTTCCCTGCGTTTAATGCCTTCATCTATTTTATGTCTTTTTTCGTGAGTAAGCTGTTTTAAACTGAAAGGGCTCTTGTGTAAAAGAGTGCCAAAGGACGAGTAGGTAAATTGCTGCCATCATTAAAATGATAAGTAAAAATCAATAAATTTTCAACGCCTGACAAGCAAAACAACGGGCAACAATAGCGACGACAATATTTGTTTACTTAATTCCGTGTGTTTATATTCTCGCATGCGCCCACATGAATGGATATATTCGCGCTATGCACATATCTGCACGTAAGTAGCTATATGTTTACGTTTATATGACTTATCACACTTCAACACATCGTCATATTATTCTTATCATTTCATCGTCAACATCGTCAGCATCACTTACACATACAAGAGATGGGCATTGTTCAAATGCATTCTGTTGTTAACAAGTGGTATAAACGACTAAATTTTGTCTTTATGCATATGTGTATGTGCACGAGTTTTAAAACAATATGCATCGTAGTCTTAATTTCTTACAGTACCGCTCTTTACCTTTCTAAACCTCTCACCCACTTTCTCTCGTTCTCTTACACACACACACACACACACACACATACATACACACACACATACACACACACAAAAGTTTTTCTCAATCGCTTAAATCACATTAATCCGAACAATCACTGAACCAAGCCAACCCCTTTGCATACGTTTATCAATCTATTCTTCATTTAGAAGCGTTTTGTTGCTTAACTGCTTGTAGATACTTACTAGGCATTCATGCACACATGCTTGTATGCCTGCATGCATGCCTGCACGCCATGCTTACATATCAAGTGGCGAGAGTGTGAATCTTTTAATAGCCAATCAAAGTGTTTAAAAATCTCTTCAAAATCGCAAACACAAAAAAAACTTTCCATATTTACATATATCGAATGCATATAAAATGTTTAAACTACAATAACAATAATAATAACAGCTACAACAACAACAACAACAGCGATAATAATAATAAATTCAAGCAACGACTTAAAAAAAAAATTTCCTGTACATCTAAGTTGTTGAAGTGTTAATAAAACAAAAAACAAAAACTTTGGTTGGCATTCGTGTGCATTGACGTATGACTGAATATCTATAATACGGTTTTTTAACATCTCTCCATCATATATCAACCTAGAATGCAGAGCGACGGATTAAGTTTAACAATAACGACAACAAACACCAAAAATTTACAAAGCGCTCTTGCAAAAACTTACACTTTACCTACGAATGATTACATCTCCGGAATAAGTTCTCTCTGCTCGTTACCATTGCTTACGGACTGTGAGGTCTGCCATACGCGGGTTTAAGCCATCTAAAAAAAAAACTACTTTAATGCTGTCTAAAATCGTCTTCTATTGAAAAAGTGCAAAAGTTATTCCTAATATTTCATGAAATGTTTTGAATTCATGTTTTTCTGCACATGTTTCAACCTTAAGCAACTGCTTTAAATATGAACGCTTCATCAAAATCTTTAAGCTTTATGTAGAACATGCAGTCGTTGTAGTAGTTTTGGTAAGCTGTGTTTTCTATTTATTTACGACTTTTCGGTAGAAAAACTTGGTTCTTTTAAAGCACCCACGTTAAGGAAGAATGACCAGCATTTTTCAACAGCATTAGGGTTGAAGAGGTTGTTCGATTGTTTCGCTTTTCCAGATGCAATAATTTTGCTTGTTTACATATCCAGAAAAACTAAAATGTACCTCATTGCCTTGCACGACTGCAATTCCGGCCAGCAATTCAGTACGCTGTGCGAATAGGTGCATCGCATTGTCGGGGAAAAACCTTGAAAGGGCGTTCCGAATGGAAAATTGCGAAGCTACACTGTGATCAAAATGGAGACCGAAGGATGGATGGTGAGGCGGATAAAGTAATGGAATTAAGGCCAGTATATAGCAAGAGCTAGAGGAATAAATTTATGAAAGAGCAACTGAAAGGTCGTACCGCTTAACGAAGCATGGGTGCATAATTGCAACAATGAAGCATGAGTAGCAGTAGTTGCACCACTATGCTCATGTGAAAGAACATATAATATTTGTTCGCCTAACGCAAACACCTGTAGCATTAGAGGAATTTCACAAAGTTGGCAAATTGTGTGAGAACTTGTTAGACCTTTTAGCTAACAAAACGTCACTAGCTAGCTATAGAATAACAATTGTTCTTCTTTGCGAGTGTACTCTCAGAAGCTGCTTAATAAATTCGCGACCAGAACCACATTGCCACACAATTCATACACTTCCGTCTATATGACGAACTTCAATTAATTTCGCCAGTAAATTGCTGCATAAGCTAGATATTGATTGAAAATTGCAACAAAATAGCTGTCTGTTGATGTTCACCAAAAATATACAGTTTTTAGCTTACTCGATGTACAGTTTCATGCTTTTTCGACGGTTTGTGCTCACTGCATGCAATTCAAGGGAAATGATAATTTCGTTGTATTGTTACGAACTTTGCTTTTACTAATACGGTTCGCATTAATAAATCATGGATTTCTTTTATTTACAATCAATTTCGTTTGGGAGGTTTACTTACAATTTATTTCGGCAATTCCCAGCTCAAATTTTCTTTTTCGACCTGTCTGCCTTTCTCAAATGTTCCGATTATATACATTTTTACAAACATATTACTATTCATGGTACTAAGTTCATGGTGCCATTTTGAATCCGTTAAACCGC